CTGCTGTCTTTGTGTCTGCAATGGGGGAATAAGGCGGCTGCTGGACATCTGTGGGGTTGCAGCAGCAGCAAGACTGCGGCTTAGCTGTATATGTTCATTCTCCCCACCGCAGTGTCCAGACACCCCATTTCTACTACTGAAATTTATTTATTTGAATTTAAATACAAAAACAAGAGAAAAAGCTAAACCTACAATTCCGCTGCTGCTGCAGCTGCTGCTGCGGCTACCGCTGAGGCCCAGCGGTGCTGCTGCTGCTGCTGCTGCTGCTGCTGCTGCAGCAGCTAACTGGCTGCTGCAGGCCCCTACCGATGTTCATCATTTCTTTGAAAAACGAATTCATCTANTGCAGCAGCTAACTGGCTGCTGCAGGCCCCTACCGATGTTCATCATTTCTTTGAAAAACGAATTCATCTATTTCTTCTTTTACTTTCTTTCTTTTTGCATTCAACACACCAGAAGGAAACAAGCGCAGCAGCAGCAGCAGCAACAACAGCAGCAGCAGCAGCAGCAGCAGCAACCGCCAAAGCGGTATCGACACAACTTGCCGCAGCAGAAACTGCGCGGTGTACAGACAGCTCCGAGTACAAGGGTTGGTGCAGGCCCCCAACAACAGAGTAAACTGCAGCAGCAGCAGCCTTAAGCAGCAGCAGCGCCACAGCATAGCAGCAGCAGCAGCAGCAGCAGAAGCAACAGCCTCTCGATGATTCCGCTCTTCCCCGCAGCAGCAGCTGCTGCTGCAGCGGTGGCTCGTCGTGGCGCCATCCGTCTTGCTGCTGCAGGACATATGAGCGGCTCTGTGGGTTTCTTAACAAACCCATATACACAGCAGCTGCAGCAGCAGCAGCAGCAGCAACAGCAGCAGCAGCAGCAGCAGCAGCAGCGTTTTTTCAGCGGCGTACGAGGCCGCCACAGAGGAGAACCCCGCCCGAAGTGGATGGCTGTCTTTGGGTCTATTGCTGCAGCTGCTGCGGGGCTGACGGCGGGCTGGCAAGCGCATGCAGCAACAGCAGCAGCAGCAGAAGAGGCTGCTACTGCTGCTGCTGTGCGGCTATGCCCAGCAGAAGCCTCGACCACTATCAGTACCAGCAGCAGCAGCAGCAGCAGCAGCAGCAAACCAAGAAGCAGATACAGCCCATATGGAAACCCGCAGATATTTAAACCCCCAGAAGTAGAAGGTAAGACAGCCGCAGCCTGCTGCTGCACCCAGCAGCAGCAGCAGCAGCTGCTGCTGCTGCTGCAGCAGGAGGTGCTGCTGCTGCTGCAGCAGTTTTGCTGCTGCATCAGCAGGAGTTTTGTTGCTGTTGCAGTTCCACCTGCTGCTGCAGCTGATGCTAGATACGTTGCTGCAGCCGCAGCTGCAGCAGCTGCTGCTGCTGTTTGTGTTGCCGTCGCTGCATCTACTGCTGTTCACGCTGCTGCTGCTGCTGCTGCTGCTGTTTGTGTTGCTGCAGCATGGCAGAATTTCCTAAAGACAAGGGAGGGCTTCCTCTCGCTGCAGGTGCTGGCGCAGCCGCCAGCAGATCACCGAACTGCTGCTGCTGCTGCTGCTGCTTCTCCTGCTGCAGCAGCTGAGCTGGGGGATAACCTCGGCACTATACTGCTAATCGAAAGGCAAGCTCTGCTGCTGCTGCTGCTGTTGCTGCTGCTGTTGCTGTTGCTGCTGCTGCTGCTTCTATTGTTGCTGCTGTTGCTGCTGTGTGTGTGCGCCTGCCTCTACTTGCTCCTTCTACGTGTGTATGTAGCAGCTGCTGCTGTCAGTGCGCTGCAGCAGCAACACGACCTGCTGCAGCAGCAGCAGCAACGCTGTGTGTTGCTGCTATTCTGAGAGTAAGCGCAGCGTCTCTGTTTGCTGCAGGTGGAGAGACCAGTCCTGCCTCCAGGCAGCAGAAGAAGAAGCACATAGACGTGTAGCTCAGCTGACAGTGCAGCAGCAGCAGCAGCAGCAGCAGCAGCCGCCGCCCAAGCAGCAGCAGCAGGTGCAGCTGCTTGCAGATGCCTTGGCCTGGCCCTCACGAGCCTACATGATGGACTCCAGAGCAGCAGCGCCGCTGTGGCTGGCTGTATGCTGAGCTAGCTAGCTAGCTAGCTAGCTAGCTGGCTAGTTGTATGGCTAGCTAGCTAGCTATTTGAATAGCTGGCTAGCTAGCTGCTTGGCTAGCCAGCGGGATAGTCGTGTACAGGGCGAGCTAGCGTCTACAGGTCGCCAGCTCGCTGACTAGGTGCCCAGCTAGCTAGCTAGCTAGCTAGNAGCTAGCTAGCTAGCTAGCTAGTTAGGAATTTAAGAGGCCCCGCTGAGGAGGCTTTTAATGATGCTGTCTTTAGCTTGGCTTATTGCCTGCAGAGGAAAGAAGAAGAGACAGAAAACGTCAGGTGTACGTACACCTGGTTGTAGCTAGCTAGCTAGCTAGCTAGCTGCCTGTACACCTGAACGTAGCTGCATATACACCTGAATGCCGCTGGCTCTTGTGCATACACAGCAGACAGAGGGAAAACAGAGAGGGGCGGAGACAAACAGAGACAAACAAAGCAATATGTTTATCTTTATAACACTTTATAGACAAAAGCAGCAACAAACAAACAAAAAAAAAACACACACACACAAGCATATACAGACAGAGAGAGAAAGGAGACAGAAAGGAGACAGAAAGGAGACAGAAAGGAGATAAAAAGGAGACAGAAAGGAGAGAGAAAGGAGACAGATAAAGAGAGAGAGAAACTGACTTGATTGAGAGAAGCAGCTGTCTCCTGGGCCCCCTGGGTGTCTCCTTGGAGGTTTATGCGGGCGAGGATTGCTGCAGGGTTTGTCTCCAGCAGCAAACTGCAACAGCAGCAGCAGCAGCAGCAGCAGCAGCAGCAACAGCAGCAGCAGCAGCAACAGCAGCAGCAGCNCAGCAGCAGCAGCAGCAGCAGCAGCAGCAACAGCAGCAGCAGCAGCAACAGCAGCAGCAGCAGCAGCAGGAAGAATACAACAACGTGCGGGTTCTCCTGCTGCTGCTAATGCTGTCGTCGCTAACGTTCATGTTACGTGGTGGTGCTGCTGCTGCTGCTGTTCTGCTTGCTGCTGCTGCTGCTGCTGCTGCTGCTGCTGCTGTGCGGTATCAGCGGAGACAGACGGCGAGCAGCAAACAGAGAAACAAATATATACACAGAAACGAATATAGATAGAGAAACACACAAGCATACAAATAAAAAAAACAAAACAAAAACAAAACAAAACAAAACAAAGGAAAAACAAAACAAAAGAAAAACAAACAAGAGTGCAGAAGAGAAACAACAAAACAAAGAGCAAACAAGGAGACAGGAGACAGACAAAGGAGACAAAGAAAAAGAAATAAAAAAATAAAAAAGAGAAAGCAAGCGACAAAAGACAACGAAAGAGAAATAAAAAGGAGAAAAAAAAAATAAAAAAAACAACAAAAGACGGAGACAAAAAGAAAGAAAACAAGAAGAAAGAAAAGGAAATAAAAAAATAAAAAACAAAAAAGATAAAAAAAATAAAATAAAAACAACAAAAGACAA